ACATTGAAAATATCCTCAACAGATGTGCCAACAGATGAGATCAAAATGTGTCGAGAATATAGCCCACAGCATTTATTTATATACATACATTTGTGTGTAATTTGAAATTGTGGAAAAATCAGCATAATAAATTTGAGTTTAGCTAACATAATTCCAATACTGTGGCAATTTTGTGGAGCAAATAAACCGACAGACCGCCAGAGATCGAGATCAGGAGGGATCATGATGAGGTTATCGCCGATGACGCCGAATGATGTCATAAGCGGCGGACACACTCGAATGCTTCATATCCAAAGCTTGTTTCGGGTTTTGTGTTTCGAATTATACCAATACGAATAAATGGAGGTATACCTATATATAAGTTCTTTTATGTGGCCCTATTGATGTGCCTTTATTTTTGCGGGTGTGTGGGTTTAGCTCCATTGTTTGCCATTAGAATGTCTTGTCTGCCGGTTTTAAGCGTCAAAGTTGTTTGTCGGGTTTTGGCGTCTGCACACAAATATCAGCGCAGTACTGCCTTGCTTTCTGCCAAATTCAAGTTCAAGCAACAGACGTTGCGGGTGTATTTTGTATTTGTTTTCCCCTTTCGAGTCTGAGCTGTGTTTCCTCCATGTGTTTGTCGCAAAACATTCTACGGCAGGAGCCAACTCCCAAGGTGGATATCTTGAAATTTACGCACTTTCTTAGATTCAGGGTGGTTGTCTATCGCTTACTAGGGGTGGTTCCCCAGCCGTTCCATCTATTTTTGGGGTGGTTTCATAACGCTTCTTGGCCTTCTTTTGCCTGGATTTCACTTTTGGCTTGATTGATGGCAACGCCTGGCGTGTTTTAATTCCTATTTCCTCGGGAGTATTCCACAGTCAAAAAGGGGTGGCTAACGGTATACTGTTGTGTACCGGCATTTGATGCCACCCCATCGGCATTTTTCAGAAATCCTACACGGAAGCTAAGCTCTACATTGTTATTTCTTTCTTTTGCTTCTTTATGGTATTTGGAGTGACGATAAATTGCTTAATTTATTGATAGATCAAAAAGTTTCTGGGTCAAAGTAGCTAAGAGGGATGTAGAAACGTCCCCTTTATGTAAAAGTTATAAGAAATCCCAAAGGTCGACTCATATTTCAGACTTATTTTTTGTGTTCCTGGCTACTTAAAAATTCCAGATAAAGGCCAAGTTTTTCACTCAGTTTTGGAAACTAAATACTTTCCTTTATATCATTTTAAAGTCAATAAGGCTCTTTTACTTCGCTATTACATTACTTATAAAGTTATTCCCATTTTTGGGAAACCCAGCCATTCATTAAATTTGTCGCTGAACCCATAAACCTATTTTGCAACTATTAGGTCATTCCCATAAAAAGAACTCTCAAAGGGGCTCGTCTGCCTCCCATAAGACTCATAACCAGGCACAAATCGAAGAAGTGCACTGCGAGCTACCAAGATGGAAACGCAACAGTTGCAACATGGTAACGTGGTGAGTGGAAGTTGGCTGGGCCGAACAAAGTCATGGGGCGCAAATAAAAATGTCAATAAAAATTACAGCAAATTGCCGGCTGCCCGCACCCTCCTCCTTGGGCATTAGTGGGCGGCAATGGTCGCACGCAGGGCTCGTGGCTTGTGTGGCCTTTGGTTACCAAGGTTACTATCCCTACTATCCTGGCGACAATTGAGCGCGTTTGGCTGATTAAATTACCCGAGTGCACACTGTGGGTAATGAACAAAGGACTGTCTTTATTCCTTTTATTCTCCTGAACAATAGGGATAGCGGAAAGGGGGTTTGGTTGCATAGTGCATTAAGCAATTGTTCTTTTATGTGCCATGGCCATGTCGCCAGGCTGTCTGAGCGTCAAAGAGTCGCCACCAAATTGCATTTTTCAGCACGTCAACCCAAAACTATGTCCCTACAATTTCATTGATTTTCTCCTCTCGGTTTCCCGCTCGATGATTTCATTTTCAGGACACAGCTACAACTTCTGGGCGCCTGTTGGCTCCTATCCTTTCAAGCAAATGCAACATGTGAACGAGGACTAAACGAGGCCGTGTCGGTGCCGAAGTCGTCCTTCTTCTTGTTTTTTTAATAGTCCTTCCCAGTTCGGCTGTCACATCATTTTCGCTTTTAATTTTACCTCTTGGCTGCCACCGATGACCGCAGAAGCCAACAAACCAGATGACATCACAATTTTTTGAGTGGGTTTGATTGTGTGTCAGTGTGTTTTTAATGTGTGTATAAATACACACAGAGGCGGAAATGTGTGTGATTGATGAGTAAGCTTAAAGCAGAGCTTGCCAAAGGACCTTCACAAGGATACAAAATGAAGGTATACAAAATTGGAAGTAAAATACTGGTCTTTAATCCAGATTTGTGCTTTGCTTGTCTTTCTAAATATATCCTTGAGGTTACACATTTTGAGTTCTTTAGACTAATGACTTTTACTGTGGATAAATTATAAATTCGAATTTCATGTAAATTTTATATTATTTTTGACATCTTTAAAACTTTTTTATGCCGACCCTAATTTGCATTCCCATGTAAATTTTAATATCACTTTACTTCCAAGGCTACATTCAATCTAATAAGGAATATTTATTATGTTGTCCATATTTAACCACAACAATCAGATAATATTATTTCCGTTTTTGCGGCAATTTCTTAAGCTAATTAGTCGGCTAATCACCAATTGAATGCTTCTGTTTATAGTGAATTCATTATTTTCTATTTATTCGTTCTCCATTAGCCAAAAAAGACACACACTCTTTCACCAATCACTGACATCACAAGCACTTGTTCGTTCGTGGCCAACTGTCACCAGAGAATTCGAAATCGTTTTTGATTTTATTTGTATTTCTGTTTCTCTTATTTTCAAATTAAAGGAAAATATTTTAAATTCAACACTGCCTGGCACAAGAATAATAGCGACAGAGCCAAACTAAACGCGCAGCAATTTCTAAAAGCGAGAACTACGAAAATAAGTTTTTCGAAAAAAAAAAATAAAAACTCAAAACCAAAGGAAACACTATTATGTATAGTCTATATATATGTAGGCGGTATGGGAAACACACCGAAAGGCGCGCGTCGCGCGTTTGCTTCAAATAAAAACAGAAATCGTTTTTATTTGTATATATATTTATATTTTGGCGGCAGCTGCCGGCGACGAAGTTAAAGGAGCTTCGGCGTGGGTGACTCCGAGTCACGATATTTTCGGTAGCAGTATTATCCGCGCTATTTTCGAAACGTCCAAACGCCTCGCCGTTCAAAAGAAAACTGAACGACGTCTGGCCAGACGAGAATACTCACTATGCTCCGCACTATGGGGTAAGCAACCACTTTATTTGGCACTTTATATTACCAATAAAGTCGTATCGACTTTTTACTGCAGTCTTTCATTTCAACGCCTTTTGACTAACTGTAAGTAACTTTTATTGAAAAGTGGGCGTGTCGATAACGCTTCCGACATCTAAATAAGAAGAATTTTATTTAAGAACTAGGACTTGAAATTTACAATTGTCATACAATTTTCCATTAATATGCTCTTAATTTTTTGCTAGAGATTTCATTTTTGAATATAATAAGTATCATATTCCCAATTTTTTCATCATATAAGACATAAGAAAAATAGATATATTATAAAAAATGCACATTAAAAAGTTGAAAAGGCAATTATATTTTAGTCATGGGCTTATAGTTGATAATATTATAAACACGCTTGGAATCACTCTTTAATCGCGCCTAAAAAAGGCGCAAAAGAAACTTTGATTTAATTTAAAAACTTTAGAATTCAAATAATTTACATCTGTAATACAGAGTCTGTATCCCATTGTACAGAGGGACGCGACTGTGACTTAAGAGTCGGCTGAAATATAACATAACATACTTTCAGGCGACTCCTAATGCCGGCTATTTATGCTACGAGTTATTATGCTTTTCCCAAGCTACCACACGTATTTACATTGCCAAGATTTTCCGGCAAACGAAATATTTTCTGTTTTTTGGACTGTCTGGAATCCATTTCAACCCTTAGGCGCAGACACACCCCCAACCGAATGGGATATCCACCGGGAACACAATACCGGAATAGACACACGTGCAGTGGAACACATTGTTGCAAGGGTGTTTTGTCTGTCTGGTGGGTTCTACTCCTATGTCTGATATGCATACAGATATGCAATAGACCATTCCTTAATGAACTAGAAAATATTGACCTAATATGCATAACTAAAAGGTCCTTAAAAAGTTGTTTACAAAAGGGGCGATGTTAGATAAACATAAAAACTATTCTCATGAGCATTTTGGTACGATAGATTTTAATTGTCTTAATATCCTTGTAGGTGCTAAGTAAAGGTTCTATTGTATATATTAACCAAATAAATATGTGTGATTTCATGGTTGCTTTTTTATTAAATGTCTTCCATACGTTTATCAGTTACTTCTCGCTTTGGTTACTAAGCCCCCTCTTATGGTAATTAATTAATTCCTATGCCTGGTGTATAAACCGAATAAATAATAGAAATTGTCTCCTACCAACCGCAAACACAGCTGCAGCTCTGCTGACTTGTTGAAGGGTTTTTTTAACCAAAAGGAATCCCTCCAGAAACAGTTGCGCCCATTTAGTTGCTCTCGCCCATCCCCAAAGCGCCAATTAAATTTAATTTAAGGCGACACTTGCTGGCAGCTACTCACAGATGCATTTGTCTTGCCGCCACGACAGGGGCCTCTTAGCCCCAGAAGAATAATGGTGATGAGGCCTTCGGGATCGAGAGAAAATTCCCCCGATCTCAAATGGATACAGATCGGCTATTTTCGATGCCACCGATTAGCCTATTGGCCGAATGAACACTTTTAACTTTAACCCTTTGCAGGGCGCGTGTCTGGGAATGGGATGGCTGCCGATCCTCCTCGATCCGATGCGGCGTCTCCGGCGATGGCTACTCTGCTCCGCGTCTCTCCGGACTTTCTATTTTTGGTCGGTGCTCAACAGCGCCAGCACACTCGCGAAAAGCAGAAGTCACGATTTGAACGGACGATCGCCACTCCGGCGTAGCACAGATTCCGCTCTTTCAGTAGAAATTCGTTTGCCGTGCAAAACGCACGGATGCGCCGGGCCTATACCCAATCGAAGAGATATAGATATAGACATAAAGTCGGACAGATAGAGTCGAGTTGGGAGAAAAGCAGTGAGAGGAAAACAAAAACAAAGGCAAAAAAAGTACAGAAAAAAAAGGAGAAAAGACACACTTCATCTGATCTGATCAGCGGACCGAGAAATACGCAAAAATTGATGGTTTAAATAAATAAATAAATGATTTTTCGGTGCCACACATGGCAAAGTGCAGTGCGCGTTTCACATGCGGATCAAGATTCCTGCTGTATCCATAATAAAAATGCCAAAATACCAAAGACACAAATTCACGAAATTATTTCGAAAATAACCTGCAGAAAACTCATTAATTTTCCAAAAGTCAAAAAACATAAATGTTCGTATCTCACGGCTGCGAAATCGTTGCTTTGTGGTGTAATTTTAAACGCATTTCTTGCGCTTGTTTTGACATTGAAACGAAACAACAATAACAATCGGAAAATTAAATTGGAGGAAACACACGGGTATACACCTGCCATAAGAACATCAGACTATCCTCAGGGCAGCAGAGCACTGCTCGGAGATCAGGAAAAATCGGAAAACTTTGGAATATCGGGTTCGAGTTGATCCAACAATATGACCACGCGTATTCGGCGTAAAAAGTCCACGCTCACGGAGTTGAAGATTGCCGTTGTTGGGGCGCCCAGTGTGGGCAAGAGCGGTAAGACCCCCAAAGATCATAGCAAGTGCCTTCCTTAGATTTTGCAACAAAAAAAATTAAACAATGGGAGCAACTGAAACAACAACAACAACCGAAACAGCAACAACTGTGGCAATAGCAATAGTGGCAGCGGCAGACGTATCCAATAGATACTTGTAGCATGGATGCCGAGCAACAACAGCAAATTAGTTGAGCAATCGCCGATTCGTGTATATTTAGACTTTTGTTTGTTTTGTTTATAAAGTGGCAGCACACACTTTCAGTTAGGAGAATAGTCCTAATCGGATTTTAATCGCATTGGAGTTTTTTAATGTTGAAGAGATCTTTGTACTCGAGACTAGTTATAGTTAAAGACTTTTAGTAGTTAACCAATTCTTTGAAGCAGCTCCTAAATGGATTTTATGGAAAATTATAAGATATTCATTACTTTTTGTATACAAATTTAAATTAATTTTTAGTTCGTTTTTAGATTTGTTAGAGAGTTATAACATTAAATATTTGGTATTTTTTATATTATTGTATTTTTTTTTAAGTTTAGTCCTTTGCTTAATTGTTCCCATTTAAAACCTCCTAAAGAATGTATTTTTTTGGCCACAACTGTGAATATAAAATGCAGATACTCTCAGACACGCACACTAATGCCGCCGAGAGTATCTGAGTGCGGCGGCTGGCTGGCACTTTGGCATTGCCTGCCGCCTTAATCGCTTTCCACCGTTTGATTTGACAAGCGGCTCTGGCCAAAGACCAGGCCATGCTCTAATTTATGACGGCCCATGAGCACATCCCATAGATCGGGCATGTGCAAGAGTATATAGATGGGGGCATGGGGCACGGATCATGGATCATTGGCATCAGTTGCATATTTCTTCGCTGCGAGCGACTTAGCGTAAATTGATGTTCCCTGTCAGGCATCACCTATTCCGGAAAGCCCCGAAATAATTTTAATTTGTAACATTTTGTAGGCCCCATTCGTGTCCCCTGTGGGGATGACGATGATGACGATGGAGGCTTTGGTGGAAAATTTATGCCCGCCATGCAATGCAACTGTCAACTTCGGGTTACACCTGCGTGCTGCATGTCGTCGCTAACAAATAGAGTGCAAAAAGATGAAAATTGTGTGGGGTGAGACCGCAGACAGTGGAGCCGCATTAATTATGACTGAATACGTGCTCTACTAATAAATATAATGAAAAATGTAAGACTTAAACCGAAAGGCTTGCAGCAAATCATTGGTGGGTGGTTTAGTGGGGCAAGAAGTAGGATCTGAGATTTGGATTTAGATAATATCTAGTATTCCAATCAAACAACCCCAAGAAAATGGAAAATGACAAATGCATATATGTTTAATAAATGTATTTATATACATTTAGTGTCATTCAGCCGCAATCTGCGACCAGAGACCACAGCAAATATTTAATTCGCGCGATAGTGTGTGTATGCTGTGTGGCAATTTAATCGCCCACAGCCCGGCGGACTCCGCCGCACACTCTGCCACACTGCCACACTTGTAGACCCGCGATAATACACACACAAGTGTGTGTATCCATGATGTGGACTCGATCAATGCCCAGCGGGCGGAGAAGACGCCACCATCATCCCCATTGCCACTCGGGCGTCGCGTCGTGCATCGAAATATTTAAACGTTGACCTCGTGGAAAATAAAAAAGAAAATTCGGAAAACATACATTTTTTTTTGGGAAAAAAGAGCACTGGCCAAATGTATGCGGTGCTGGGAAAATAAATGATGAAAATGTCGTTAAAAAGTCGCGAGCAAACCAAGGCAACCACGAGCCAAGCGGCTAAAAATCCACATTCGAAATTATAAACAGTCCAACTTATGTAAGGTGGATTTAGCTTAAGGTTTACCCTCATTTTAAAAAATGTTAAATCTAATATTTTAAAGAAACGCCTTTGAATTTTTAAGGTGTTTTGGTTAGAATGACGGGACAAGTTCTTGTATTTTCACTGTACATTGTCATTCCAGTTTCAAGTGGCGCCTGAGGTTTCAGTTCCCACTGCTGTTGTTGTTTTTAGCTGCGAGTTCAAAGCACTTGCATAGGAAATGACCAAAGACCGACCGGCCACAACAACCCTAGCCAGGACTCGCAGGAGGCCTACGAAGGACAGTTTTTGTTGTTTCGAGACACGCAACTTTAGGGCACGGCCCTGTGTTGCCGGGCACCGAGCCGAGTTTATTAACCCCACAAGTCGCGTTTTCCACCTGCCCCGCTTGTGCTCCTGCACTCGTCCAGCAATCCATTTTGGCAGCGCTACTCCAAGTTTCACGCTTGCTTAAGTGCTGACCCAAATCCGTTGCCCCGCACGAGGGTTGCTCGGGATCCGTCAGGAGGGCGTTACCCTGGTTTACACCTGATCCCGTTGATAGCGGTCCGGAGGCCGGACACTAAATTAAATTCATGTTACATAAATGGTTTTGGTATTTAATTTGATTGCAGCTTTAATTGTGCGTTTCTTGACGAAGCGTTACATCGGGGAGTACGATCACCAGACTGAGAATCGGTACAAGCACGAGGCCATGGTGGACGGGGAACCGGTGCTGTTCGAGATCCTCGACACCTGTCCCAAGGTGGGTATCTGTGAAAACAATTCGTTTCCCACTATAATTATGTTAATCGTTTCAGGCCGAAGACGAATACCCAAACGCAGCCGAACTTATTCAGTGGGCCGATGGCCTCCTACTGGTCTACTCCATTACAGATCGAAAGAGCTTCAACTACATACGCCGGGCCAAGTCCGATCTTCAGGCCGACACACCCGTCCAGTTGTGCGCCAACAAGGTGGACATGGTGCACCTGCGCCAGGTGAGCCGCGACGAGGGCGAAATCCTGGCCAAGGACTTTGAGTGCAAGTTCAGCGAGGTCTCCGCCGCAGACCACGTCGACCAGGTGGCCGAGGTCTTCAACGAGCTGTGCAAGGAGGTGCTCGCCTCCAAGCGGAAGTCCAAGCAGAGTCTTCTCGAGCGGATGCTCGGCGGCTCCCGCCCCTACAGCCGAGGGAAGAGCGACAGCAATTTGCCAAAAGACTGATAGCGACGGTGACTCTATATTGTAAATAAATGTACATTTTTCTAAAAAGTTGAACAGGATTGTTTCTTATTGGGTCAATTCCGCCGCCTCTTTAATAATGATTTTTTTTAAAAATATATAGTTATCTGTTATCTGTTCCTAGATAAAAACACAAAGTATAACTATTGGATTTAAAGACTACAAGAATAAAACTAACATTTTTAATTATTATACCCGGTACAGCCACCGCCACAGCCACAGACGGGAATCAAACCAAAAGAGTGCCAGGTATCCAAAAACCAGTCCAGCCCAAATACATTCCACAAACTTAACTATGGCAGTCCTTTTTAGGCATTTTTTTTGTAATATTTTTATTTTTATTCGACAGCCAATACATAACTTCGAAGCATTGCTATACCAATTATAATATTCTCAAAATTTGTTGCAAAAATTATGGCTTTCTTTGTAGAGGAATGAAACATTTTTTCCTCACGGAATTGGAAATGTGAAATGAATTTGAAAAATGACCCACATGAGACACTTCTTCTCTGGTAAAACTCCATTCTCAATTCGTCAATGCTTGTGTTGAAAGTCTGGGACTGAAACCAGATATCATTGTTGTATCGTTCCACGACACACAGACAAGCCCCATGCCACATAGGCATAGAATGTGTCCAGAAGAATGCTATTTTACTTTTTTTGAACAAGCGTTCTTGATCAAATAGAGTTTGTTCATTGTCTGGATTCTGCGTATTAAAAGCAAGATTAGAAATAATTTCGTACTTGTCTCTGTCAGACAAAAGGTTGGATTTGCCAGGCCCACTACAAAATTCCTGTATTGTCATTTTATTAAAATCGATGACTTTTAGTAAATTCTCTGTATGATCTTGGGAATCATTAGTCTGTATCCACTTCTCCATTATATCAAAACGTTGAGTTTCAGGAACAATGTGTGAAATATTTCGTAGAAATTCCTCAAAACAGCTAAACCCAAGTCTGAACAAATTTTGAATATCTACTTGTATGAAGGAACGATGCTCAAAAATCTGAAAAAAAAAATGTTTATGTTTATATGTTACTCATAAAAGATAAAAGTTTTCAAAAATATGTGTTTCAAAAATATAAAGACATTTACAATGCAATCAGTTACTTCATAACTCGAAAACCGTATTACTGGAGAAAGTTTGTGGAACCGGTTAACATTCGATTTAAAATGTACCTTGATAATTTTCAACAAGAACTCCTCATTGTTAAGAAGGTAAAACACCTCAAAAAATTCAATTAACCCAACCGAATCCACGCCGTATACTTTTTTCTTAAGGAGATCAGTGCACAACTCTTCGACTTCTCGAATAAGCCACATGTTCGCGCACATGATAATATCCAATAATTCAGAATAAGTGAGATTTTGGAAAGGCTCATCATTTTCCGTGTATATAAAATTGAGGATGATTTCAAAAACTTGCGGAGTCGTGTCACCCAAAAGCACTTGGCTCGTTTCTGCACCGTCGTTTAAAAACACCTTTTCGAAGAACTCCGAGGCACAAGCTAGGACAAATCTGTGGCATTCAAATTTCGTATCGTCAACTTGGATGCAAATATCCGAAAAAAGCCTTAAACCAAGAAATTCTGTTGAGCGGGTTTTCCTGAAATTAAATTACAAAAAAAATGTTAGGCACTTTTCCTATACATGTCCAAAGGAACTCTCACCAGGATATGATATTCATTTTGTCCCAGAACATAAAAAACAGACTGTTTATTCAACAACAATAGAATCTTAAATGAGGCATACAATTTAAATCTTGATGAAATACAAGTTCATCTTTACAGTTGAGGGGAGTAAAATAGTGTTTATTAAAATAAATTAATGTAATTCAAGCAAAAGTAAGCCTAATTTTTCCTTTTGCAATGTTCTTTCCACTAATATGAATGTGTTAATATTTTGACAAAAGTTATTCGCCAAAAGAAAGTTTTGTTAAAATTTTTACATACAAATGTAACTTCATGAAGGTTATTATTTTTTTTTATCTGTAAACAACGACAATATGACTAATTGGGATTCTCTCGTATTGTACTGAAGTAATTATTCACGAATGAATGTACATCTTTGGTTAGTTCCATCCGTTCAATTAAAGCTACTATAAATAATCTAGAAAAGCTATATTCGAGTAATTCAACTTTATGATACCCGACACTCCTTTAACTACTATCATTATATTCATTAAGGCTTAATTTTTAATCTAACTAACCCGTTAAAAGAGTAACTGTTGAAGTAGCGAATTTATACCATATCATAGATTGTTACTAAATAATTTTGACGCATACTTTTGGGTGTTTCAGAAGAAACATTTGAAAATATCCCTAAGGGCAGCAGAATAAAGTCTATAACTCTTTAATTTGGGTGAATTTTATTTGTTTAGGTATAAATTATACATTGAAGTACATGGTACACACATAGTTTGGACTTCAAAAATCAAAGTCGTAAATTCCCTGAGACCCACGCGCCCATACAAAAAGACGGTCTTAATAAACTTTGAACAAAATGATCAATAAGATATGATATAAAAATTTTAGACACTTACTTTATACATTATTGTCATATTATAATTATATTGACTTATGGTGATTATACGCTTATTTAATTTCGAGCAAAATGAGCAAATGAGTTTACACTTTTAGATTAATTTAATTAAATTATTTTATATATTTTTAGAAACGAAACTTTGATAAAGATATCTCATTTTAGCATCCGAGATTTTTGATTTCTCCCGCTAGCAAATCTAACGCTTTTTTAATATTCGGGCTATTTCCACCAAATATAAAAGTTTTTGGTGTGCATATAAAGTACATAAGTTCATGGCCGATATTGGTCGTAAATAAATGAGAGTTAACTAGCATTCTCGGAGTCTGATTAAACTTGGTCTTCAATTCCTCTTCGCTTATTGTAAAGGTGTCGGACCTGAGCCAAGTAACAAAATCGTTCCTTCCAACAATGCAAATATCATTTTCGTGCCAATGACACATGGAGTGTATCCAAAAGAATGCTAGTTGACGTATTTTAAATAATAGATTTTGGTTATCAAGAACTTCATCGTATTCAGGACTTTTCATGTTTAGTGCTATTTGAGAAATTATATTATACTTGGTAATATCAGTTAAAATTTTGGACTTTCCAGGACCGTTTCGAAAGTCGTTCAATGACATTTTCGTAAAATCTATGGCGTCTAGTAAGGTGGCATTCATATATTCGTCAAAAAGTTTATCTGGAAGACAGTGGCTGATAAACCATTTCTCAACCATTTCAAAACGTTCTCGTTCGGGGAAAATGTGCAAAGTACTTTGAATGAATTTCTTAAAACAGTTAAACTCCAAATCATACAATTTCTCGATGTCCATGCTGTCCGCCCAACGGGTTTGAAGAATCTTAAATTAAAACAAATAAATATCATATACAAAAATGGTAGATTCCACTAAGAAATACTTCCTTACCTTAATAATCTCAGCCAAAAAAATTGTATTCTCAAGTTGGTAAAATATTTCGTAGTATTCTATTAAAGACTTTGATTCCATGTTGACCAGTTCTTTTTTAAGGATATCAGTGCAAATATTCTCCAATTCGCATATCTGCCACATATTTGAGCATTTCAAAATTTTCAAAAGTATACTATAATCGAGTATTTCTATGGGCTTATTATTCTCGGTGTATACAAAATTAAGAATAACTTCAATAACTTCAGGTGTCGTGCCCTCCATACGATATTCCTTCGACTCGAAGTCTTTTTGTAGAAACATGTTTTTGAAGAAATCCGACACACGAGCAAGTGCATATTTATGGCATTTGAATTTGGATTCCCCAACCAGAATGGATATATCCGAAAAAATACCAGATTCAAGTATTTCTAAAGCTCGTTTCTTACTGAGGTAAGAGGGAAACTTTTATTGATTTGCCCACCAGATAGAAAGTGTATATGATACTTACCAAGATAAACAGCTCATTTTATTTTATTAATTTAATTTCCACTGCCTAACTATTGAATTGAGAAGCATCACTGTCTTACTGTATCCCACTGGTCCGAGCTAGTACGATTTTATTATAAACTAAGGAACGGTTACTCATTTTCGGATATAAATTTACACATAAATAAATCCAGAGAAGTGTTTTAAAATGATATATACATATGATTGTGACTTGTACAGCTCATAAAAAACTCAAAATTTTTAATTTACGACTGATTTAACGTTATTTTTATACCCTTGATGAGGGTGTGCACTAAAATCGACACGTCCGACCCTATAAAATATATAAACATTATAATGATTACCTCCCCCGGCTGATTAGATTTTTGTTATCAAGAACTGCATTGTATTCCGAAAAATGACTTTTCATTTTTAGTGCAATTTGAGAAATTATATTATACTTGGAAATATATATGAAATATTTCGTATATATTTCCTGTGTTATAAGAAATAGATTTAAAAATTTATTTCAGGATTAAGGCCGCTCCGGATCGGCCAAATGATGAGCGATATACATATCGATATATATATACATATATACAAATCCGAGTGATCGGAACTTAATACATTGATATGATTTTAATGCCTTAGTATTAATAACGAATATACCGTGTGTGTTCGGAGCTCGAGCAAAGAAATTTCCTATTTCCTATGTTTTTTCGTGCGGAGCGATTCTACTCAAAGTTGACAAATTGCTAAATAACCAAATTAAAATTATTATTTTTTATTTTAAGTTTACATAATTTGATCGTTTCTAATTTTGGCCCCTAAGCTTCGTATTGATAATTTTTACCACACGTTGCGCCTAGTACCAAAACATGAAGTTGGGACAGAAACCGATTCCATTTGAAAGTACTGAAAAAAATATAAGTTAACAGATAACAGATAGAGCTTTATTTTATTACAATATTTCTAATAGCCTTACCTTACCTTAGTTAGCTCCTCCATTTTTGTATTATTTTTCTCCTCCTCCTTTTTGTTGATCAGGTCAATTGCTTCCTTAAATTCTGTTAATAATTACTTCCAGATCCAAATGCATGCAACTGCATGTAATTAGGATTCTTAAAGTGCGTCTTCTTCTCTGGATAAATAAAAGTCACAATCATTGTATTTGAAATACCTCGGGGATAGTGTTCTCCAATCACTCTTCTCCCGAGTGTAGTCCTTCTTGTTGAAACATTTTTTTAAAAAACTCTGAGGCACGGGCTAGCATAAATCGGTGGCGATTTTAAGTCCTCGAAGAGAATGCAAATATCAGAAAAAAGACCCGGGTTACCCGTTATAAGCTTGAAATTAAGAAAAATACTACATGACAAATATTTACCAAGACTTGAAGCCCATTATATTTTCAAAGTTTTAGTGCGGACTTAGAGGCTTGCAAAAGCAAAATGATTATTCATTATTCGTATTATGTGCTGCAAGTTCACATACCATATACCAACTTTCTGTAATCTAAAGTCAGTACAATGAGTGAGTCACACTGGAAATGCTTGGAAGTATACAATAATATCCATATTTTTAGTGCTTTTAAATACATTTAATAAAATTTTTTTTTTTAACTTTATGCATTTTTAATTTTAATTACAAGTTAACAATTAATACTATGAATGTATGATATTTTGTTATACTCAAAGAATTAAATCTATGTGCTTAAAGCTTAATATCTCCAGATTATTATGACTTCAAAAATTTAATATTCAGAGTCAGAACCGCTTGCGACCATGGCATTTAACGCGACCCACACCTGAATCAGGAGTGTCTTAAAACAAAAGAAATCCTGTAAGTTTAGATTGACTATATCCTTTTTTCAATTCAGTTTATCTTATAATTCTATCTTCTAAAAATTAAGGTCCTTCAAATAATTTGAGAACTTTTGAATACGAATTTTGCTTTCGTGGTTATAAGCATTGTTCTGAATATTTGAGAATATAACATTATTGATTTTTTCAATAATATTAGAATTGCTATGTTCAAAAATAATAATAGTATGTAGTGATTTTTCTATGAAAAATTGTCCATGGGAATATGGGATACAACTCATATTCGGTGTTAATATTTTCTTACATAACTTTAATAAATCCGTATCGTTTACAGTACCTACCATTGACGCTATCTGTGGGCTTACTTGTTCACGTCGATATAATACACGTGTAAAGTCTGTTGGAACAATTATGCACGACCAATAACGGGGTCTCAAACCGAAATTCTCGTTTAAAAAGGAATCCGCTTTTTTCACTATTAGCCCCCGGCTCAATGCATCGTAAAATTTATTGGTGCTTTTAAGTGCGATTTCAGAAATTATTTCGTACTTTTCATTATCAGCCAAGAGATTTGATTTTCCTGGTCCGTCCCGAAACTCTTGAATTGTCATTTTCATAAAATCAATGGTACTTAACATGGACTGATGTTCTCTTAAGGAACTATATTGAAAAACCTTGTTTTTTAAAATCCAACTTTCAACCATCGCAAAGCGTTTACTTTCGGGGAAAATGTGCGAAGTGTTCCGAACGAATTCGTTGAAACAATCAAAGCCTAGTTCGAAGACCTTTAATGAAGTTGCGTCAGAAACCGATTGCTTTTCAAGGAGCTAAAAATAAATTTAAAAAAACAATACATTTCAAGACAAAAGTGCTGAGCTAAGTTTCTATTACGAGGCTAAGACGATTTACCTTAATAATCTCATTCAAAAAACTCTTGTTATTTAGTAGGTAAAATATAGCATACATTTCTACCAAGATTTCCGGTTTCATTTTTTGTGCTTCTTTTCTAAGAAGGTCTATGCAAATTTCTTCAACTTCACTTATTAGCCACATATTCGCGTTCTGCAGAACTTTCACTAATGTTGTATAATCAAGGCCCGTCAAGAGCTCTGTCTTCTCTGTGTAAATAAAATTCCGAATAATTTGAAACACTGTAGAGGTCGTGTCCTCCAAACGCACTACTCCCGTGTCTATACCATCTCTTTGAAACATTTTTTCAAAAAATTCTGAAGCACGGGCCAGCATAAATCGGTGACAAGGAAATTTTACGTCCTCAACAAGAATAAAAATATCGCAAAAGAGACCAGTCTTAAGCATTTCAACTCCCCGATTTTTCCTGAAATATGTAAAAGGTTATCCATAATATGCATATATTATTAAAAATTGGAATATACAAATATTTACCAGGAATCGAAATTCATTTTTTATCTCTGGTATATACTCCGAAGTCGTAGACGTTCAAAACCAAACTGAATCATTTTTATTGGAAAAAATAAAATGACTAGGTGTTACAATTAAGGCTAGAAGAATAGTAGTAAGGATTCATTAATAAAAAAAAATGTTTAACCTTTAAGCTACATAAGAATTTATTTAGCTCTTTTGCTATATGAAGTCTTTGGAAAACCGTGAATAGTTAAAAATTAAAACTTACTGCATTTATGTATTTAAGTATACAAAATATTGTTAGTTATAATTACTTTTTGTGTAAACGGTTTATTATTTCCTATTTTGCTGCTTAAGACTGTTTAACTGATAGAACTTCTGGTTATCAGTTTAAACAATTATTATGACCCAATCTAATCGTCAATTTAATCGCAAAATCTTATCATAATTTCAATATCCGGTGACTCACTATTTCTTCTTCGGTTTACAAGACGTATTATTGGTTTTATATATTTATTTGAAACTAATTTTAATGAGGAAAATTTTCAAAATATGTATAAAATAATCATTTTATACTTTGGTAGCAATCAGCATTTAACAGTCTCACTTTGCAAAGCTTTTTTTTAAAGCTTTAGTTCAAATACATACAGTGGCGCCCCCATACATTTTTTGTCCGAACTTAAGTATAAAGCTTAATATTTATATTTAATAAATTTCCACATAAATTTTTATATTATACTTTTTTCACCACCATTATTTCAAAAGAAGAAAATATTTTGTTTTATGAATTATTTTTATGCTATTTTTATGAACAGCCAAAATGTTTAATTAACATTTAAATGTTAAATTTTAAATTTTCTCACTGAAAAGAAATGTTGGAAAAAATTTCTATTGATTGGTGCTGAAAATTGAAATATGAAAGAAAACAAATTTTGGAAAAATATTTTATTATAAATGTATTTTATTATCTTATTATTAATTTATATATTTACAATTATTTACAATTATATATTACAATTACTAAAACTAAATTAAAAACTAATTAAATCTAACCTAAGCCCAGAACAAAGACAAGGACCACATCCTTCAGGTGGGCGGATTGCAAGCGCCTACGAACTGGATGCGCTCCAGGGACACCCAGGCTTGGTCGCTGGCCCGGTAGAAGCCCTTGTGCTCCACAAGCTGTCGCAGGAAGGAGATCACACGCTGTGTGCCGTAGCTGTCCATGTCCGGGAGATTGATTTCATCGCAGAAGAGCACCAGCCACTTGCCGATCTGAACGGGCGAGAGCACCACTCCGTTGGGGGTCTTGCGGTACTCGCAGTAGTGGTCGAAGGTCTTGAGCAGCAGCTCCGGCGTGGTGGCCGACGAGAAGTTCAAGCCCACCACTTCCATGTCCGGCAGGGCGCGAAGAGCCGAGAACAGGGTCATGGTCTTACCGGAGCCAGGCGGTCCGCAGAGCACTGAAACGAAAAGTTATGAAAGGCATCCCACGATTGTACTATGAAGAAGTCTAAGCTCACCCAATGGCTTGTGCTCCGCCAGCCAGGTGTAGAGAAGCGACTCGTGGCGCACGGTGTCCAGCGTGGGCACCACAATGTCCGGCGAGGCCACCTTGTGTGTTTCCACCTCGATGATTGGCACCTTGTTGCTCCAGGGCACCCATTCGCCGTTCATGCTCACCTCGAAGTCAATAATCGGAGCACCTGCCGCTCCTGGTAGGGGAACGGTGGTCACACTCCTCACAAAGTCGCCGAGGTCAGTGCGCACCTTGAGCTTGGCGTCGCCAGCGAACGATCAGAGGACCGAATACACTAGAGCCTTGGGAATGTAGTGCTCGAGCTGGTCGGCGGAGCACGGGAAGTCCGGGTGCTGGGAGTTGAAGTTCAAGACGTTCCTGGCCGACTGGTTCAGCATGGAGAACAGGGAGCTGAGGGCGCGCAGACGGGTGAAGTCCATGATGTGCTCCTGGTCCATGGCGTACTCCAGAGTCCGCACCACGATGCCGTCGGCGGATAAGAAGGGCTGAAGCAATAGGGCAATGTCTCGCTGCACCTGGAGCGAGGGTGAGACCTCCTCCTCCTTGTCCTTCGCGGGCTTGATGACGCCCACAAAGTCCTCGTCGCCGTCTTCCAGCGGAATGCTCCGCAGTCGCGACAAATAGTTTTCGAATATCATCTCCGTGGAGAGGACATCCTCCGAGAACCAGACCATGCCGCAACGGGACACTGTGGCCAGCGTGGCGAACTTCAGATCCTGCACCTCAAACATCACCCGGACATTGGGGGGCAGGGAAAGACGCTCTCCGTTGGGGAGAGTCAGGAGCTTGTTGTCGTCCAGCACGGAGTTGAGGTTCTCCACCCATTCGGGATCCACGTCGCCATCGAATATGATCCACTGCCGCTTGTTGATCTCGCCGCGCACATTGTCGATGATCTTGCGCAGAATGTGGGTGAACAAGCCATCGGTCCATTCGCGGGTGTTCGGATCCAGGACACCGTAAAGGGCCTCCTTCGAAATGGCCTTCGGGTCAATCACATGAGCCACGCCTTCAACGCCCTCGAAGCGCTCCAGGGCTTTGAGAAGGGTTCTCCAGGCGGTGGACTTGCCGGACCCAGATGGACCGACCATCATCAGGCCGTGGTTCAGATTGGAGATCTGGTACAGTTGCAGCACCTGGGGGGAAGGAAGGGGTTGTCAGTAAGTACGAGGAGCTCTCGATGTGGACTAGTTACTTTGTCCACTCAGGTGGAGCCGAGTCCCTGTTTGATTAGTAAGCATGTGTGGATCGAATGGTTATGAAGTGAGTTAAGAGTACTGGCTACAGGCTGGCGCCCATCTTACTTTCTCCATCCAGGCGGCGCCCTGCTCGTCGCCCTCGCCGCAGACCAGATAGTCCTCCTGGCACACCTTGCGAATCTCCTCCTTCAGCCCCTTCATTTCGGCACGGGTGTAGCCCACATTCGGGAACACATCGCTGAGGAGCGAGAAGAGCAGTGGAATGTCCTCGGCCACCAACTTGGGCACCATTGTCTCGCACACCGACTGGATGAGGATCTCCTGCTCCGGCTGGTTCTCGGCCACCGAGGCCTCGTCGATGTTCTCGTCGCCGCGCTGCTTCATCTGCTCCTTGATCTTCATGATGCGGTCGCGCTTCACGTTTCCGGCCGAGATCAGCACGGACTTCAGAGCACGCAACCCAAAGTCGTAGTGGCTCTGGTTGGAGAGCTGCTCGTCGCAGAGCTTGAAGAAGGGCACGATCTTGCAGGCCAGTTTCTCGGCGGAGCGGAAGCCCTGCGAGAAGAGCATCACCTCGGCAATCAGCTGGCGGTCCGGCGTGGTCATGGCCAGCGAGCGGAAGAGCTTCTTCAAGTTGTCCGGCAGATTGGAGCGACCGGCGTATCCAGGGTTCATGGTGATGAAAATTGCCATGTCCGGCGAGACGCGGACCTGCTTGCCCACCAGCTCCACCGAGATGCTCTCCTTGTTGCTGTCCATCTCGTACTTCAACGCCTCCTGGATGGTTTGGATCTGCTGCGAGCAGGCGGAGAGCATGCGCTCCTCCAGTCGATTGAACTCGTCGAAGCATCCCCAGGCGCCCACCTGGCACAAGCCGACAAAGATTCGGCCCATGGCCTGGAAGTCGAACGTCTCATCGCAATTGAAGACCAGAACGAAGCGACCTAGCTGGTTGCCCAAAGCCTTCACGGACTCGGTTTTTCCTGTGCCTGCCGGTCCGAACGGAGAACCTCCCAGCCGAGATTCCAGAGCCTGGGTCATGGTCAGATAGCAGCGATCCGTTAGAGGGGTCTGCACCAATCGATCTTGCACCCCCAAGTACTCGAAGCCGTAGAAGAAGCGAGCGTTCGCCATGTGGATGGTCAGCTGCTGCAGCACCTCCGTCTGGCGGGGATCGAAGTAGAAGCGCATCTCGCACAGCCACTGGAAGGATTTGGGGGAAGTCACGCCATTGGTGATCAGTCGGCGAGTCACCGTGCGCTTGTGCACAAACTCGTTGATCAAGTGCTCCAGCTTGCGGCGGCGCAGGGGAGGCTGCTCCTGCAGAACAGAGTCTGCCAGAACATTCAGAGTGCTCTCCACGTTGCCGAGGACGCGCTGCATGGGCTTGGCGTTGTTGTTCTCGGACGCCTGCTGCAGGGCTGTCTCAACATCCTCAGACCAGAGAATCTGGGCGGCCAGGACCACGATCTGGGCCTGGTACTTGTCGCACCACTCCATGTAAGCCTGCAAAAAACAAAACCATGGAAGAATAACAAAGGATTACATCAGAAACAAACCCACCTGTGGGTCGATCTTTCCGTCGCGGAACTGCTTGATGTCCTGCACGGCCTGGGCCAGAAGAGAGGCCAGCGTGAAGCGCATCTGCTTCTCCACAAGCGACAGCCACTCATTGATCTTGGGGTGCTCCACCGTGGACACTGGGTTAATGAAGTGCACCTCCTCGCCCTCGCGCGACGATATGCCCAGGATCACATTGTTCTCCTCGTTCAGGAGGATGGCGGCCACGCCGGCAAACATCTTCTTGAAGTGCTTCTGCAGCCGGGCGATGTTCTTGCTGTTGCCGATGATTTCCAGCAGATCCTCGTCTCCCACGAAGTAGAATCGCGGGAACGAGGTTCTCTCGCGCTCCAGATACTCTCCCAGGGCCTTCTGGATCTTGCCCAGCAGATCGGCCAGGGACCGCTGGACTGCTGGGATGTTCAAAACGTCCATGACCTTGGGCGACTTGGTCACCTTCTTCATCAGTCCAAGGAACTCGGAGCTGATGCTCTGGAAACGAGAGATCTCCACGGGGAGCAGAGTCTTGATGTCAGCGCTTCCCGAGAATATGCCCTCGAGGTACACCCAGCGCCTCTGCACGTCGATCCAAACATCGAAAAGGGCGTTGATCCTGTTCAGCTTCTCCTCCCAGGTCAGGGCCTCCTCCTCGAAGACCTTGTAGTACGGTGACAGCTTCATGGCGGCGACCGAGTTTATGTGCTCCTTCACCTTGTTGAACAGATCGTCCCACTTTTCAACCGTTCCAGACAAATAGAGCTTTCAATTGATCTCGTTTTAAGCATATTATTTTTAATTCTGGAATAATATGTTTCACATAAATAATTACAACAAAATAGGAAAAATACAACAGCAACAGGGTATAACTAGGAACATTCTCACATCCACATCCCACCAGGGTGGCGGCGTTTCCGGCGGAGGAGAAGGTGGCATGCGAGGATCGTGGGGCATATTTGCAGCAACTGCCACCGCTGATTCCACGATCCCAAAACTATTCAAACGTGAGTCTAAAATTATAAAGATCTATAATTATAAAAGATACTTTGGGTATGTTGGGGAACGAAATGTTTGGAGCCGCGATGTTATGTGAAATTGGGAACAGTACGCGGTTATATAAAATAAAAAATAAACTCGAAAATATAAACTCGCTAAGCAAATTTTGAAATTATCCAAATATAGATGGCCCAGGAGAAGGATAGAGAAAATCGCTTGGAATTGTTTGCTAATGTGTCGGATGCAATTGAGACAGTCTGATTGGGTCCTGGGCTTCCGATTAGGCCGCCGCCTTGGCAACGGGTGATAGATAATCCTTCAGGTGGGTCGAAACAATTTATGCGATTCGCCTACAAAATCTCTTGATATTTCGAACTTCTTCAATACATTTTTATACTCTCGATAATTTAAAGCAGAGGTCGGCACGGCCCTATCTCGGGGGCATAGGAAATTTCTCTGCCCGAGCTCTGCCACACACACACAGTATACATGTGTGAAACGTCATGCACACAGCCTACTTTCTGCTATTCGTTACTAACACTAATGCGGTAAAATCATATCAATGTATTGGGGTGCCGATCCCTGATTTAAAGCAACAAATCAGCTATTAAACAAAACCACACGGCAATTCGAACTAATCGGCGTCGAGCCCTCGACAATTCAAGGTTTAAAAGAAAAATGGGAAAATGATTGTAAGAACCTTTCTCTATGCTCAAGCTACGTGGCTATTTATCACGCAGTTCAGCGCGCAGTGGTCTTGAAAAGGGTCGAGCGACTAAAGTCGATATAAGTCGAGCGACAAAATCCCATAGCTACCATATAACTGAATGATAGGATGTTCCCAACTTCCATGTTTTTATACCCTTGCAGAGGGTATTATAATTTTGTCCAAAAGTGTGCAACGCAGTGAAGGAGACATCTCCGACCCTATAAAGTATATATATTCTTGATCAGGATCACCTCCTGAGTTGATATGAGCATGTCCGTCTGTCCGTCTGTCTGTCCGTCTGTCTGTCTGTCCGTTTCTACGCGAACTAGTCTCTCAGTTTTGAAGCTATCGTCTTGAAACTTTGCACACACCCTTCTTTCCTTTGCACGCAGTATATAAGTCGGAACGGCCGGGATCGCCCGACTATATCCTATAGCTGCCATATAACTGATTGATCGGAAATGACCCAACTTTCGTGTTTTTGAAGATAGAAAGCTGAAACTTAATACAGATTCTATTTTTGGCCAGTTGATCCAACCTACTAAATTTCATTAGGATCGGCCGACTATATCCTATAGCTGCCATATAACTGAACGATCGGAAATGACCCAACTTTCGTGTTTTTGAAGATAGAAAGCTGAAACTTAATACAGATTCTATTTTTGGCCAGTTGATCCAACCTACTAAATTTCATTAGGATCGGCCGACTATATCCTATAGCTGCCATATAACTGAACGATCGGAAATGACCCAACTTTCGTGTTTTTGAAGATAGAAAGCTGAAACTTAATACAGATTCTATTTTTGGCCAGTTGATCCAACCTACTAAATTTCATTAGGATCGGCCGACTATATCCTATAGCTGCCATATAACTGAACGATCGGAAATGGTCGTTGGTAGAAATATCAACTTTCGTATTTTTGAAGATAGAAGTTTGGGACTTTTTTTAGATTTTTTATTTTAGTTAATTAGTTTTATTATGATGTAATCATAAGGATCGGCCAACTATATCCGATGTTTGCGATATATATCCGGTTTTAACTGCAAGGGTATATAAACTTCGGCTCCGCCCGAAGTTAGCTTTCCTTTCTTGTTTTATGATAGAATTTTTACTTTATACAGATTCTACTTTTTGCCAATTGATCCGATCTACCAAATTGCATAGCGATCGGGCGACTATATCTTATAGCTGCAATATAACTGAACGATAGGAAAAGTATTTGGGGAAAATACCAACTTTGGTATTTTTCAAGATAGAAGCTTGAAACTTTTTTTATTGTAATAAATTTGTTATATTATAATATTCTTATAAGGATCGGCCATGCAAATCCAATGTTTGCGATATATATCCGGTATAATCTGCAATTTAATAGGACATTTAATATGAACATTTAATATGAAAAGCGTCCGGGATCCGAAAAGGTTGAGTACTATGTCACTATGTGTTACTAAGGAATGCCCGGAATCATATCCAGGAAAGACTCCATCATCGACGTCCTTACTTCTTTTAATATAAGAGTTTTAAAATGAAAAATTGCGAACTGAATAAAATTTCCCTTCAAAACCATTCTGTTTTGGCATAGAACCTTTTGCTTTAGAAAAGTGTGGAATATGGAAGACGATTGATGATTCCCTATCTAGGCATCGACCTCTGGCACCTTTTTCCTGAACCCCAAGCTCTTGACAAACTTCCGCTTTGGGGGAGCGTGTGCACGACATTTAATTAGCCAAAGTCAACAAGTGCTCGAATGAAGCGTGTAAATCTACTTAAGACTGGGGCTCACGCATACCAGAAAAATGCATCCAATTTAAAGATACTCAAAATATAAAAACATTAAAATGGGATATAACTAGTTGTTAATTAATAAGACCAATTAAGTTGGTTAGAAATGCTCTGTAATGCTAATGAGATAATTTGGTTATTTGTTTTTTTCAGTGCAAAAGGTAAGTAGCGTGAGTTACAAACTTCGGAATCGGCTCACATTGGACATTGTTGACATTGCATCAGCTCTCTTTCTGGCTATTCGATCTGTTTGTCCAGTTAAAACCAAAATATTGACACTGACCGACTCATGAATGGGAACAATGATGCGCAGAATCTGGCCCAAATCGACTTAACTCAACTCAAGTCTATGGATTTCGATACGATCGCGTGCCGCGTGCTCGGTGCCGATCGATGTGCAATCATTATCGCTCATACGCCCCGTCGGACAAGCCGAGCTAACCACATGGCTGAGGGGGAAAAAAGCCAGACATGGCGGCTGTTTGGCAACTGCTAATGGGAAATTATATACACGATTTTCTTGCAATTGTTTAACAACATTGATGGCTTGTGGCATGAAATCTCACAGGTTCTCTCCTCGTACCTATAAGTTTGTTTACCTAATTAGTTTCGCATTTAAAATTCTAATTCTAATTTATGTTCGAAAGTGGTCTTGGTATTTTAGCCCTTGGCTACCGCAGTGCAGCACTTATCTGGACCAGGTGTCGTTCGTTCGTCTCGGATGCCGAGTTGCTTGAACTGTTTAACAAATGTGCAGCTGGCCCCGTGGCCGTAATTGTCTGGGCCAATTGGTGCTGTAATAGTTTTTAATTATGGACTTGTGATAAACGGAAAGTTCTGGAACTTGTCTTGAAACAAGTATTGTGGGTCAAACAAAAAGGATTTTCGGAAAATCTGCAGAAAATAAGGACCATGTCTATGACAATCAAACTATAAATTATAAAATCTATTTATAGATGCAGCTCTCACGCCCCTAAATATTCATAAGACCAGCTGGTGCAACAAACATGCAAAGCATGGTCTGGAGGGACACCGCCTCCCCCGACCACCCCGCCGGACAAAACCTGTACTCAAACTCTAATTAGTACGATAACTATTGCTTTCTTGATTATAAATACTCGATCATTTAAATTAGAATTGGCCAACAGGTGCACTGGTGCTCTGGCCAAGAGCCCGTGTAGTGCTCAGTGGGTTGGCTAACGGTTTGGCTGCAAGATATTCACACCTCCAGCATCGGCGGTTCCAGTCCCAGGTTTTCAGATTTTCAGAATTAGTATCTTTTAAAAGTTCAAGACTCGAGTTTCCATTGCAATTAATTGGCACGAAAATGGCGGAGCCAAAGCCAAAGCCAAAAGCAGAGTTTGGCCATGCTAGCTGTAAGTCATTGACTTTGATTTTCGATTAAGCCAAAGCCAAATATCAAATACCAACTGGTCTCAGACATGTTCTAGTTAATTCCTTTGGCTACTGTCAAAGCCAAGCTCCAGCTAACCTTGGCTTTTATATTTTGTTGTCTTTCGGTTTTTATGCGGCTTTAATTAGCCAAATTTGAAATGTTGCGGCGGCTGTAAATGAAACGTGTTTGCGCTCTCGGCACTGCCACTGCCACTGTTTTTATTGCTTATTGTTTTTATTTTCTTCTTGGCTGTGTAAAACACAAAAAAAAAAAAAAAACAAAACCTTAACAATTAATGAAAAGTGTTTAATTGCAAAGTGCATTGGGCTTCCGGCAATTAGACGGACGCCGGACGGTTCAACAAACCCGTGCCCGCCCCTGCTACTTTTCGTCCCAGAGCGTTTCCTGCAACCCTAACCCATTTGCTCAGTGACCTTGACAGAAGACGAAAGAACTTTATGCCAATGGGCCAACTGGCACGTAAGCCACTCCACTTGAATCAAGTGCAAATGTTTGTCCAAGCCAAATACGATACAAAGTGGCTTAAGCCAGGCTTGTAGCCTTTAAAGTCTGACCCAAATCGGTGAGAAAAGTGCCGAATTAAAATTCAAAAATTAGAAAAAGTATGGAAATCTCGATTGTTACGAAGACACCTAAAAATAAAGGCCAGGAATGTCTAGGGTTATTACAACCCTACTTTAAACCTAGTACCTCCTAAATATTCCAGAAATTAAATCTACGAAAGGAAATTCCCAAGGTATAGACAGTCCACTTTGATGATTGGCACACCTGCGAGGGGATATTAAGTTTGATACATCTGTCCCTTATCGTTCCGATTTTATATTAATATCATTATAATTGAGAGGCAATGTGGGCGTTCCCACGAGTCCACTCCATATCGCCTACATCCGATCGGATCGAATGCCGCTAATTGCCGCTGTTGCTGGCCGCTGCTGCTGCTGCTATTCTAAACTATTAGCACATTCAATTTCAATTCACAGAGCCAATTATTATATCACAATAAACCCGTACTCATAGCCGTAGTTGTATTGTAATTGGCATATGATAA